AGAGATTYAACTAGAAACACTTCTTCTTCACTCTGGTTTCTTCACTCTCTAAATCAATAAAAAATATTTTACTACTGGAATAGAGTCTGCGTGTGTGTAAGGGAGGGTAAGAGAGAGAAGTTGGTATCATGACAGAGAGCAGACAAATTAGCACCTGTTAAAGGGCGATTTGAACAACTTGAGCACATAGTTTGCTGTACAMTATTAAAGACACAGCAAACCTTCACAGTTAGTTTTTTTTAAAGTTTCACGGAAATATTGTATTACTGTCAGATAAAAATACAAGCAATTAAGAAGAAGAATTGAAATCTAGAATTGACTGCAGGAATGTAACACCTGATGTTTAAATATAATCTGATGTTGATAAATGTTCGGGTTGTAGCCTTTTTGGTAAAACTTTTCAAAAAGCTATATTGCATGATCAAATATTGCAAATGTGACAAAGGATGTGTTGTGAATGACTCACAGCTCAGTATCTGTGAAACTGATTGAGAATAATTAGCTGTGGTTGCCATCTTGAATCAAACTGACTTCAGCCAATGGTTACTTTCTGAAAAGTTTGTTAAAATTCAATCAGTGSTTCATAATAATCTTTGCTAACAAACAATCAGGGTTGACTCTAAGACCTTGCACTGTGTGTAGTGCTTGAAACATATGTTGGGGATGACTCACAGCTACTACAACACCCTTATTTAGAACAATATCTGCAAAATTGTTTTAGCTACTTTGTGTTTATCAAGACCGATTAGTTGTGGCAGCCATGTTGAATTGGACTGAATCCAAAATGTAATCAGTTGTAAATGTACAAGCAGTGAGACATTTTGCTAACAAACAAATACAGAGACAGGCAATAAAATAATTGTCTATCTTTGCCTTTCAGTAGCAAACTTTTTTTTTTTTTTGCCATTTGACAAATGTATTTAAGTAAACATTCACTGGCTGCTTCTGATTTTATAGCCACACTTGTTCAGAGGCACGCACAGCTGTGAGTGTTTTACGTGTTACAACACTGCATTTACACCATAATCATTCCTTGTAATTATCCATAAATAGCAGCAYATCTGAAAAAGTTACTAACCAATAAATTCTAATTACTTAGGTCTCACAGGCAGTTCTGCTTTTAAATAACACCCGGCTCAACTTTAATTATAAAGTTGCAGTTGTAATGCCATGTGCCCTTTTTTTAAGTACTTCAAATTTCCTAAGTAGAACGAAAGCTAAAGAGCAAATAAGTACATTTTTTTCAAGCCCCAAATCTGCCTATAATCCATAAAATTACACCTGTCACTAGAAAGTTAGATTTATTCAAACTACTTCCTGATCCAAGAAGGAAAAAAAAAACATTAAAYGCACAAAGACCTTCAATCAACACTTAATTAACACAGCAACCTTTTCCCCATGCTGGCAATCACTTCCCTATCTGCCAGATTAGTTTAAGGATGTGAATACAGATTAGAAATGGCCAATGCAACTCTGAGGCTTGGCTGTGGAAAAAAAGTAAGTGAGTAAACATGAGAGCAGGGGAGGGGCAGAGTGGCAAGATGGTGGGAGCAAGGGAGACGTTGAGGTGCTGCAAAAGTCAACATTTTACTGCCCACAGTCATGTCAAGTTAAGTGTGTCATGTCAGCAGAAGGAGTATTACTTAGATAAGTATTTGCTGTGTACGTTTCAGTGCCAGCGTGTTTCTTGCAAAATGGGAATGATTAGTGGCAGCGCTTTCTAAACTGGCAGTAAACAAACAAAAAAAAAGGGGGGGTGGACTGGCTCAATATACAGTAGAGCCATTTTACAGTTTATAGTATGCAAAAGGTTTGTGTATTTATAGGAACAGGAAAAAAATGGAAATCATATTAAGTTATAAAGTAACCCTTTTAGATAAAAAATAAATGAACTTCACATGTTAAAACCCCATTTTAACTTGGCTTAGAATTCCTTAGTATTCTATAAGCCCCAGATGCCCCAGCAGTAATGTCAGAGTTTTAATCTTTAGTAG